TGGCAACCTGCTGACCCTTGTGTCCCATCTTTAACCTGAATCAGACTCTAGTTTATACCTGGCAACCTGCTGACCCACTTGTCCCCGACTGCCTCCGTCCTAAAGGACGATGTCCTGCTCGAGCAGTTGGAGGTTTTAGGTGTGCAGGTTTGATGAGACGTCCCACCTCAGACCTCGGACTGTAGCGATGGCCTCACCTCAGCCTTCTCCTGAAGATTCAGCCTCTGTGTTGAACTTTGCAGACTGACGGAGCGCACGAACCGTCAGCGTGATGACGTCACTGCACAGCTCCTTACAAATGATGCTGGTGGCAGCAATGACAAATCCCAACGCTCTTTTCCAAAACTTTGATGTCATTTATCAACGATCAAGGGCTTTGAAGTCGAGCTTTAAACACTATGAACATTTAAGAAGCTATTTTAACCTATTTATCACCTGAAGTGAAACTTGTTTTGTAATTTTCCCATTCATTGCGTGAAGTATGTGTAAATGTAACGGTCACCTTGGATGCCAGCTAACAGTCGGAGCAGTTTGGGTGGATTTAGTCGCTGCTCTCTCTGCGGCTCACAGCTGGAACAAAGACTTCCTGTGTGGCTGCAGAGCGGCTGAGCTGGACCGATGTCCTGAAGAGCTACAGAAGAAGAAGACGTTCTTATGTCAGTTGTTCGATGTGCAGGCTGCTGCGGCTCATCGTCCTGCAGATTCTGCGGCGTGCTTCTTCATGATTCCTACGAGATTCATCTGAACTTTCAGTTCTTTTCACATCTAAAACATCTTTGTGCTCAGGTGTATGGATGATGCACAATTAGATTTTCTGGTGTTTCAAACTGTTTGTTTCACGTCTCGTCAGGGTTTTGCTGCTGTTTTGAACGGCTGATTTTTTTTTTCTGTTTTCATTTGATCTGATCAAGAGAACAAGATTCAATATTAGAATTTCAGATAGTTCTAATAATCATCTTTTTATACCTGCGACTGGTTTTAACCTTCATCAGCATCATAATACATTTTCTGAATTCTACTTTTTGTTGGCCTTTCTGCTTTAATTTATTCTACCTCTCCTATTTTACATCGTTTTTGAGTCTATTATTACAACGAGCTCCTAAAGTTTCTTGATTTTTGTTGTCACAACAGCATTAATAATTATCTGCTGAAAGGATATGATTTAAATTCTATTAAATACGAGAAATGTTTCCTTCAAACATTCTAGATGTGCGTGTTGGACGGATGAAGCAGCTTTGAAATGAGTTCGTTGTTACGTTTCTGTAGAATTGTTTGTGTAAAACGCGGGTCGCCCGCCAGATGTTCAGCTTAAAGGAAGATGTTTGGAACATCCCCTGCTGACCAATCAGAAGGCAGAGCTGCTCTTAGAGACAGAGACCAGTAATTGGAGGATGTAGTCTAATCCAGCTTGTTTACTGAACTGGATCCATTGGACACCTTACTGATCATTTATGTCGGTTTAAACTTGTAGCTGCGTTACATTGAACACCTGTCGGGTGAGTTTCAGCTGTAAGTGGCCCTCGGAGCTTAAATTACAGGTAAAAGTTAGTGTGGCAGGTTTTCCTGTCCCTTAAGGTCGTGGGGTTTTTCCCGTCTTGCTCGGGTTTCAGTGGTTTGGGGCGCCGCAGACAGACTCCTCCCCCTCCGCCGCAGGAGGTGGTTCAAAGAGCAGCTGCTGCTGTTGATGATCGTAGAACGAGGAGACGCTGCAGGCGAGTGGACGGCTACCTGTCCACCTTTGTGACAGAGGAGGCGCCTCGAGGGGGTGAAGGGCTCGGCTTCCTCTCCATCAGCTCCGATGAAGAGCTCAGTGCTCCACTCTGACAAAATGACGAGGAAAGGCAGGGCGGGTTTTTAACCAGGGGTGTCACGAGACGCTCGTTTTGTGTGACGGGATCCTGGATCCAAAACACACGACCATATTTTCAAAAACATTCTCCACAAACTCAACCGACCGGCATCTCTCCTGTTTGATTCATTTCAGGGCCAACTTCAACCAACATTTAATCTTCAACAATAAAGGAAAAGCCATTTTTTGTTTGCGTTGGTCTAAATATTTATACGTAAATATAAAATTAACATAAAACAGATCTTATCAGTTATAAAAAAAGTTAGTTTAGGTTAGTTAATAGTCCTTTTTTCCCACCTCCACCTCAGTTTTATCAACTTCTTTTCTCTCGACTGATGGATTACCACGAGATTCAAACGGCCGACTCTTCCTCTCAGCACGTAGCTGCAGAGGCTGCAGGAGAGCACATGGAGCTGCCTTCACAACAACTCGGTCCTAGTGCCCGCCGTGTTTATGAACTGCTGACAGTTTAACTCGTCGTCTCGTTTATTTGGCTCCTGTTTGAATTCCGTTTGAAGTTGAGGACGGATGGTGGACGTTTGTAAAGGATGTAACTGCACGTGTCCTGGCTCTGTGTCAAACTGGTCAACAGATCCCCCACCACCACCACCACCACTGCATGCTTGAATTAATAATACAGGCATGATGAGCTCAAACTTCAACAAACCTTTTAGGTTTGTAGAAATGAAGCCCCCCCGTTGGTCAGGG